AACGGTAATGACATTTTACACATTTAAAACTAGAACTAATGTTTAAGTATTGCAACGTTCGCCTCTTTATTGTCTAGGGGTGCAATTAAAATGTGATAGGTACTGATTATTCGTTCAGATTAGTTAGTACGTTGTACTAATTACAGACTCCGTTTTATTAATTATTAAGAATTTTTGAAAAACTTGTAAAGTCTCAATGGCTCTTTTCTTACCTGGGAATCGACCCCAAGAACACCTGTCGATTATGACATACATTGCCAAGAAGTACAGAACCGGGAAGTACCTATAGATATGACTGTGGTACTTATGACCTTTCGCACAATGTAACTTCTATCAAGCAAAAGCGTGGGAGAGCCATGCTTCGGCACGAATGGGCCGGTTCGACCGGAGTGCTACTACGGCCTCACAGAAAACCGATGAGAAACAACGCTTGCGTTGTGTGAGTGAGGTTACCTGTGGCCCAATCTCCCCAATCCCCAATAATCCTTAAATTCCTAACCCCCAAAAGACCGGTACTTGTAACGCCCCTGATGTTTCGGGTCTCCGTGGGTGACGCCGATTGCTTACCACCAGGTGATCCGTCTGCTCGTTTACCAGATTATCCCATAAAAATGCAAGCACGAAAAACATTTAGTATTAAACTCACATTCAGTATTTCGTGTTATTATTTCACCTTTAGCTACCAAACCAAGTGGATATTGTTCTTTGATATTTCGTTAAATGTAACAAGTCTTTGTGGAATTGATGTGGTATATAATTTTCTTTTCTTTGACGTTTAACCTTTTCTGTGCTTTTTTCTTTTACTTTGATGAAGTGGGATGTGAATGACTTGACGATATTACATGAACAGTGTGTTTTGTTTTTGTATTCAGTTATGCTTTTGAGTAAAGTTAGGGGCAAAGGAAAGTAGGTGGGTAAAACAGTGAATGATTACATTTTTTGTCAATGAGGGTATGATTTTTGCGTTGCCTAGGTGGCGCTAGTGAAGTTTTACGTCGTGTCAATTAAACCAGATTAGAATTGGTCAATACTTTTATAATAAGGAATAAATAGTACATTAAAGAAGAGAACCAAAAAATCTTTGTTACTGTAAGTTGTAAATTTTTCGTATGTAGTAGTACGTACAGTGAAAAATATGCAAAAATAAATAGAACTAACTGAGCAAGAATAGCAAAATCAGTATATTTATTTAAATATCCTGATAATATTGTCGTATTGCACAAAATAGAAGGATGTTCTATATAAATGCTTATATGGTTTGTTTGAATTCTATTATTGTGCAAAATAATAAGGTATTGAAACAGAAAATATGCATTGAAGATATGGCAAACAGGAGTACAATAGGATACCTGAATAAGAATAGTATGCAGTGGGAATAGTTGGTGCAGGTACACATCAAGCTACGCAATACCAATATAACTTAACCGTCGAACGTGCGGAAAAGTCGAACAAAGCGAGATCTTGTTATACTGGTATTGTATAGCTCGATTTGTAGTCAGTCATGTGTACTTACGTTGCTATTTTTATAATTGTTGATGCTATCGGCTTTGTTGTGCACACGTATGTAAATTGTATACCTTTCAGTTCTCTTTGTTACTATGAGTTAACGTTGACGTGAAAACAGCAAATCTTGTTAACAAAAATGTTTGAACACTTTAATTTGACTTTATTGGTCGAAAGTCACTATGGACTCAACAGCCGTTGATGACGCGCTTTTCATACATGATCATCATCAGCTTATAGAAGCCCTCTGCTGGACTTAAGCCTCTTCCATGGCAAGCCAGAAGACCGCACATAATTCCTTGCCTTCCGCATCCAATATATATATATAATCCAACTGACTGCACGGTTGGTGCGGTGGCTGGGCAACCGGCTGCCGTGCAACGTGTCGCGGGTTCGATTCCCGCACGGAACAACATTTTGTGCGATCCACAAATTGTTGTTTCGGGTCTGGGTGTGATGTGTATGTGAACTTGTATGTTTGTAAACGCACCCACGACACAGGAGATAATCCTAGTGTGGGGCAACGTTTTTTAAAAAAAAAGAAAAAAAAGAAAAAAAGAATAACCCTGAAGATATAAGATAAGTTTGCCTGTTCGTCCACCCACCATTTAGCGTCCATGCAAAATTTCCGAAAATAAAAAAATTCTACCACCATATTTATAGTAGTTAATAAACATTTGTTGCATCTTACACGTTTCTAGTATCTTACATCAATGGCGATGAGTAAAATGGACGCAAACAGGCGAACTTTTTTGGGTGGACGCGAAAAAGCGAATTTACCGTCTCTTTTATAATTATTGGTCGCCTTAGTAATTTACCAATGTTTATTGTCTTTATACTGTAACAATCTTTGTTTTCTGACCTGGATACCAGATATCTTGACTAGCTGTACATAAAATTGTGTCATGCAAATATTATTGAAGATACATCTTATAATATACATACCTATATGTGATACTTATCCGTTTAAAAATGTACGGAATATCGAGTTACTTCCGAGAGTTTTGGATTTATTCAGCTAAGAGGATTTCAGAAGATTAATTCTCGTATAATCTTAAATTTTAAAGTAAGTGCAACTCGAGCCACTGGGATTTATAACGTGCTAGCTTTTGCGCGTAACTTTGCATGAATGGTAGAAGAAGCATTCTTGTAAAAATGTGTATTTTGGATCGTCCAGACTCTTCAGATCAAGTATAGATACAGCAAGTAAAAAGTGTGACAGAGCCATGCTTCGGAACGAATGGGCCCGGCTCAACCTGAGTGTTACCAAAGCCTCACAGAAAACCGACGTGGAACAATAAATGCGTTGTGTTTCATCGCGTGGGTAAGGTTACCCGAGGGCCAATTACTCAATCTCCGAATCCCCAACAATCTGCAAATTCTATCGCACTTGTAACATTTGCACTGTGGGGGCTCCGGAGTTGGTCTACCAAGAGGACCCGGTGCCTACTTCAAGTGCGGATGGTGGCCACTGTGGAGGATTTACTGTAAAAATCCCACACTCCCTAGTCCTTTTCCCCAAAAAGCTAGGCGTCTTTGGAAGGTTTCCCCCGTCAACAAAAAAAAAGTATCCATGGGCGACGCCGATTGCTTACAAGTGATCCGTAGGCTCGTTTACCGGCTTATCTCATTAAAAAAGATAATACATACATATGTTTACATGTAGCGACATGATTGAAAATAGAATGCGTTTGTGTGTGTGTGCATGCAATAAGATATCCTACCGTAAGAAAGGAAATGATAATTTTTAATGACAACAGACATGATTTAATGGCAGTCTCATTATTTTAACTAGTAAATTTATTATTACCTAATTATTTTTTTGTTTAATAAGACGTATGTGGTAAGTTCAATATCCTGTGTTATTGAATGGGAACATTTTATCAACAGACTCACATCATAAAACACAATATAATTAGGTATTAACAAATTACTAGTAAAAATAATGAATCTACTATTAAATGATGTTTGTTAACATTTTAATAATTTCCTTCCTTGTGTTAGGATTTCCTTTGGCTTTGTGAGTACGTACACAAATTAATCACACACATCCTACCCACTTATTACACGAAGGAGCTGCTGGATGCAGGTCAGAAATATATGTGTGTCTGTTTGTTTGTCCTACTTACACGACAGAATGGAGCTAGAAGGATATTGTAACAAAAAAGGATATTGTAAAAGGCTACTTTTTGTCTGCCTGACGATAGTGGAGATTTGACTGTAACAAATTAAACTTGTCAGTTAAAGTATTAACGCTGGAATCAGCGTAGCATTGGGTTGTGATATACCTGTGCCAATAAAGCCGTGAAATCGTGACCTACAGCGACTTTTTCCAATAAAAACTGACTTCTAAACCTAACCAAACGTTTCAAATGAACTATTCATTGAATCCAGTTGTAATTGAATCTATAAATTGACACACAGATAGACAGATGTAAGCAATAAATCTATCCAAGGAGTAAAGTTTCATACAACTTTCAGCCCTATGTCATTCCCTTAGAGGATAATTTTCAAAATCTGTGTGTTTTTACTTAGGTTTGTGTTGTAGGGAACTTTCATTGAACATTTATGTACGCAAGTTCAAGGATACGTCCTTACTCGCCAATAGGTTTTTCTAGAAAAAAAAAATACCCAATACAGCTAATCTGGTGGTGGGTTCTTTATGTACGTATTAAAACTAAATGTATAAAAAACAAAAGGGTTATAATATGCGAAATCTATGTATCAAGAAATAACACAAATAAAACGATCAGCCTTCAATCTGATACCGCCCTTTCCTGTGCCGACAATCAGTTTATTTACGTACTTGCAATAAAACTGAAGATTGAAGATCATTCATTATAACACCTACAAGCACTAACTCAGCAATGGCATTGTTACTTAAATATGAACTTTAAATCGTATGTCGTATGACATATTTCATAACGTCAATATCAAAAACTGTAAGCGCGCCGCTCGCGTGCCGCCCGCGCTCCGACAACGGCGCGCCTACAACGTTTCTGTATTATTTCCAAAGTAAAAATCCTCGTGTCTTAGCCGTGCCGGAGCCGTACTTGTTAAGTGTGTGATGATGTTTTATTCACCATAATTTCTAGAATATTCGATCTGATTCAAATAAAACCCTTTTTTGCTGCTGTGTAAGGTTACTATCTAAATCACGCTTCGGTGTTTACAAAGATAGCACGCGAGTTAAATCTTAAGCAAAACTTTGTGTTATGGTTGCAATAGATTTGTAGTATTCCTTGACGTAATTGTTATGTTATCAGATGCCAAAGCATTAATAAAAAGTACTCTTATTTATTTAAAATTTAGCATCCAAGTCTATGTTACGTCTGGCTATTATTTGATCAAAGATTTCCTGCCTCATATCAATATTATTATCATATTATACCATACCGTGGAAAGAGATAAAGATATAATTTACGACTTGATAAAACAAACAATAGGGTTGTTTTTTCTTTGAAGGAAATGAAGCATTTAACTTTTGTTTGTTACAGGATTGAGAAACACACGATATGAGAAAACCGTTAAATAGAATTATAAGAAGATTTGTTGTGGTCGGAGGGAATAGAAACGGCACGTGTCGCTCAAGTGATGAATGAGTGGTTTATCTGTCACAATGCTTGCGGAGAATGACACTCATAGTTACGCGGGTTCAAACAGTTCTTTTAACTTTTTCTTCGAAGATCCACGGTTTATATCAATACTGAAACATCGGGGGCAGAACCACACGAACAATATCGGCGATGTTATTAAAGTTCTGGAAGACTGGCGGAGTAGATACAACATTTCTGTCGTAAAGGAATGTGAGAAGTCGGAATATTGCTCCGGGGAATTTCGTGATCTGATCCTCGCTTACAATAGCATACATGGATACGTTAGTTTATTGGTGAGTTAATGGAATCTGTGCTTTAATTGTATGTGTTAAGATTGTAATTCCACTTTACCTATGTTCTAAATGAAGAACATAGGTAAAGTGAAAACAATATATAATTAAAATGTTTGCATCAGGGTATCTACGGAAAAGAGCTATACCTACGTTAAATAGTGATGTTAATTCAATGTAAGTACTGATCTCACAACAAATGTCACAAGTGTAGAAGATTAACTATTTGAAGTAGATTGACGTAGAATGTACGATTCTGAGATTACAAATATAATACATCATGTTAATAAGACATTTATTTACTTGTTTAAGTTAATTAAAATTTAATTGTACTTACGCGTCTGCTATATAATCGTTTTAGTACTTCATGTTGAGACGCTAGCACATTAAGCCCTCTGAAACGGTTAAAAGCCTTTAATAGATTTTCAACTTTAAAGCTAAGTGATAAGAACGTAAATGTATTAAAGAACATTGGTAATTTAGACTACTTTGACGTGCCCGTAGCCTGTAATTGGACACGTTCGTCCATGAAATTTTCGAAAATGAGGTTTGTCGAATAATTCACATGTAGCTAACGCTGTAGTACTTACAAAAACTTGATGAATTTCGAGACAATTTAATATGAGTGAAAATTACTCATTTGTAGAACCGTAGAAATTACTGGAAACATTAAAAGTAATGAGCTCGTTGTTCTCTATATTATAATAAATTAAAGAGATTTCGAGAGTAACGTTAGACAAAATTACAGCTTAGTTTCTGACACGAGGGCCTAGATAAGAGTAATTCCACATGCTTTATAGTGAAGGCAAAATTAAAATATAAAGCCTTTTGTAGCTCTAAAATGTTTAGTTTTGTATTTTTATTAAATTCAGGAGTTAGAGAGGCATCATGTGCATACCTAAATGAATCAGCTTAAAACACAGTAATGGTGGTGTCGCGGTGACGGTAGTCTAGTCTGCAAAGCAGGTCTCAAACTGAGACCAAACGTTTTCCATCGACTCAGGAATTAATATACCTATTATTTGACTATTCGATTTCGATATTCTTCAGATAAAGTTTGTACTCATTATAATCTTTAGCTTAGCAACCATTAGGATTATTGCATTGAAGAAAATAGATGATAGTCCGGCAAAAAATGGATGTATTATAAAGGCAGTTTTAAAAATCTCGCCAGACTAAAAACATAATTATCATATTAATATTTAACACCAAGACCCTTTTTTATTAAATCGTTATTAATTGTCTTCCAACAGGTTTGTCTCTTCGGTAGTTTAGCGAACGCATTGAACGTAGCGGTGTTGACGCGACGAGATCTAGCAGTGACCCCCATTAACCGGCTGCTGAAGTGGTTGGCGGTGGCTGATGTCTTCGTCATGCTGGAGTACGTGCCCTTCGCGATCTACAGGTACCTGGTAAGTGATAGCTATTACAATATTTAATATATAAAACTGTGAAGTTGGTTAAAAATTGAAATGCAATTCTCAAATTTAATAAATCATATTACATTTCGCTATTTAAATAAATAAATACATAATTTATTCAAAAAAAAAAATATAAACAGAAATTTCGTATGTCTTAATTCTATATTCTTATTGCTATGTTTTTCCATGTGCCTGAACTAGGTTTGAAACCTGTACCTCAGGCTATTTGTGTTACTAGTGCCTCATTATAAGAGGGTGTGTTAAGACGAGTTACAAATCCGTACTATTATTGAGAATTTTCTAATTGAAAAGTGTTACACTATTTCTGATTCCAATTAAAGTCCTCGGAAATCACTTTTGCATCACCAAATTGGCAATGCAATATAGGAAGGTTTTGTTGGCTATCGAATCCCAATACTCGTTGTTAGTAGTAGCGAAAGGGACAAATCGACCAAAAAGGACGACAGAGAAAGAAAAAAATGGTCCCATGTTCCGTACTTAATTCAGTTTTCTGTTTCAGTTATTCCCCGATCAAGAGGAGCGTCCATACTCCTGGGCAGTATACATGCTGTTCCACAGTCACTTCACTCAGATCCTGCACACTGCGTCCATATTGCTCACGTTATCTTTAGCTGTCTGGCGATATATTGCTATAAAGTAAGTACCTGCTTTATATTTTGTTTATTTAATTATATGTATTTTAGATCTCGTGGAGAATCACGAGGGCATGAGTGTTTTTTGTACAGCGTGTATAGTGTTTTTAATGTAATCAAGAATTGTATTGCGATTATAGTATGGAATTTCTTACTCGTGTTTCACCATAGGGATCTACACTTTGAGCAAATAGCTTCACTAGAGGACTGACCTACAGACTGATATTTTTTAATATTTCAATATTTTGTTTTGACTGCCTCGTTGGCCGAGTGGTCGCAGGTGCGACTGCCAGGAATCCCGGGTCGGGTAAAGTATTACTGGCTTTTAAAAAACTCCTCAGTAGTCCTCAGTATGCCCGGTATATGGCAATAGGCTCACCCCCTATTACATGGGATTCATAACATAAATAGTGAAAATTGGGTGTTACATTGTGCAGTGGCAAAATGTGCACCTCTGCATACCCCTTCGGGAATAAAAGGCGTGATGTTATGTTATGTTTGCTTTGACGTTCAAAAGTGCCATAATTAAAATAAATGATTTTGACTTTCAATAAACACAAACAACCGTACCTCCGAGGTTTTGCATGGGTGCTAAGTGGAGCCTCTGATTCTTTGGGAATATGTTAGAATTTTTCTTGTCCTAAAAATAATAGGCACGATTAAAATCAAATTAGAACAGTTAATGATCAGAAACGAAAAATATTTTTTCAAATTGATCCGTTATTTCCGAAGATTAGACCGTTCATACAAACAAATAGGCAGAGCGGTCTGACGTGATTCGATTTCAATTGTTGTTTGAATTTCATCACGCGATATTTCGGAAGCTAATGTCAATTCCATACATTTTGATTAGCAATACGAAATTATTTCTATCAAAAGGCGCTTTGTAGTTTTTAATTTATTTGTTTAAATGCAGTAAAATCGTCTAAGCTATATAAACTTTCGGAGTCGTGGACCTAACGTAACGGGTTACCGGGGCTCCGGCTCGAAGTGCAGGAGAAGGAACAGGGTGGTTTTTAGTCAGCAAGAGTCTGACACTCTCTTCCGCCTCACCCAGGCAAGAGAAGTCATTCGAAGATTTTACCCCTTAAAAAAAGCTATGTAAACTCAGTTACACAGTTGCTTTTGAGATCTTAATATTTTATTGTCTAAGGTGGATCTTTATAACATTGAAACCCATGTTTTATGAGTTGTTAAGCATTTTAAAACCATCCAAAGGTTGTAAGAAATCGCATTATGCGGTAAAATCGCTCATGCTTTATGATGATTCTATATTTTAAATCTGTGTGTAGAGGTATGTATGCTTATATATATGTGTTGTAGAATAAGGGTATCTACGTAAATATAATCACAATTTCATTCCGTGAGAAGCCGCGAGGAAAAGATAGTATTGTAAATAATCTAATTTATTCAGGTAGCAACAGGAACAAGAAAGGTACAATTGTTTAATTTGTTTTGTCCTAAATTAATTTACATTTTTGAATGAAGTAAATTTTACCTCAGTAGTAACATTTCTAGCAAGTTTATTACTCCTCAGTTACTCCCTAAATAACTTGTATATTATCTATGTATCTTTGTGTAAAACATAATTTAATTCTACACTGCAAACATCGCTCCTTTTCACACCTAGAAATGGGTGAGAAGAAACTGATGTGTATCTATTTGTCGTCACTTATTCTATTTCTTATTCACTCGGGAGCAAAGTATCGGGGCCTCCAGCGTTTTCTCTTTTTCATCTGTTAATAAATATTTTCTGATGCTATATTCTCTTCTGATTCTGATGGTATTTTATTCATTGGTAACGTATGTCGTATAAAGGGCAACTTAGTTAGTTACCTTTAAAGTACATTTTGGTGTAAAATGAAGATTTTTTTTATAAAGTTATGTAGAAGGTTCTATAAAATAAAAAGAAAAAAATCGTTAGTGGCTCGTTCTTTGCTCCTTAGTGTAGTTGGTAAATAACTCTTATTGTATTTTATCTCTCTATCTATTTGTATTAATGATTATGCATTTTTTTTAAATAAATGACGATGGAGTTTTTTGTCCATTCTTTTTCATTCGAATCTACACATTGGAACGAGTACTGGGGGGCTAAAAAGGTAACATTGTACGTTTCATATCTGAATCATAATATGTGACAAATGTCATGTCATAAAAAGACAACATTTTGATGATTCATAATATGAACTGAAAGTGTTTCATATTTGCAATTCATCTAATATGACACTTTTCAATGGAAATTCGTAAAATGGTTTGCAAAGAGTGAATTCCTATACGTCAAATAATCAGATTTGTCAGATGTTACTCAAAGGCAACATTTCACAGTTCATCTAGTTTATATTATTAATAAATTAATGAAATATAGGAGATTTAGGCCTTTCTGAAAACTTTTTGGAGCATGCACGTGTTTTAGAAAGGTTTTCATATCGTCGGCGAAGTGAGACTCTCCAGGAAATGCAAGTTTTTTTTGAAATACCGGAGCCTGAATATGTTGGATTATTTCGCGTAAATAATAGTGTGTGTCACAAAATAATCCCAAGAGTTGGAAGTGTATTATAGCCTCTCGACGTGGTGGAATAAGTACTGTGTGCAAGATAAGTAGCCACCAAACTATTAATTAGTTATACAACTAAGTTGCAATTATCCCTTAAGATTTTTTCAAGAAAGAATAGACATGTACATCTCATGTATTTATTTATGTTTAAGGTATTAAGTGCACTAATACTTAACGCTTCTGGATCGTATATTACTAATAGGCATGATTGAAGTTGTATCTTCATATACCTTGGGTTATTTCATTGTCAGTATGTCTTTTCAACAAGTTTTACACTAAAATTATAAAATAAAACTCTAAATTGTGATCCTGTACATATAGTAAATATTAATGATTAAAATTGTGTTTCAGGATACGCCTATACAGAGTGCAAGAACTAATACTAATTCTCTAGTACGAAACGGACTTATAAATAAATAAACTTTAGTCAGCACGTGTCTGACGATTTAAAAATTTTGTTGTTTTTATTTGCCTTAGTTTTTTAGGTCTATAGCCATAGTACAACCTTTTGTAATGTGAAGAGAGAGAGAGGAGAGATATTTCAACTGATAGAGATATCATTCACAGCAATAAAATAAAGTCACTAATTTTAAAACATTTATTTCATAACCACTAACTAAAAGTAACCGAGGAAAGTGCAAACTATTGTTTTTTTCTTCTCCTCTTATAATATCTTCTGATAAATCAATCTGATTTCGTAGCGGGATCCAAGACAGTTAATTATGTCCCTGACACGCGCCGGACTTCAGTGTTCTGGTGTCATCTACTGTAGATCCTGGCTTACAGGAGTCGCAGCAGTTTGGGAAGGTTGTGGCAGGCTTGTCCAAAAAAACAGGTATCTGAAAATGAAACATGATGAATGAAATTAAATTTTTCTAAGTTGCATATTTTACCTTACTTATCATATTAAAGCTACTATCATTGCCTGGTTTATGGTAAGCTACAATAAAACAACATGTCATTGTTTCAGTTAACACAAATACATGCAAATGCACTTGTCCTGCTATAGTGTATCTTGCGATGAACCAATACTTCAGCATCGCCAGCAAGATTTGAGTACTTCGATACACCTTTCCACAGTATTCCGAGGCCGACAATGTTTTTGGGCGTAGTGCCGTTGTTGAGTGTCTGGCTCGGTATTAATGACTAGTATTAAGTACACAAATAAGCTAGTAACAAATAATTATATTTACCTTTTAACGTGTATTATTTCTTAATAGATAAAATCCATAGCGTTCAATCTTCGCCTTGGTAAGGGAGGAGCCCTTTTCTGTATCAATTTACTTCTCGAATTCCATTCACATCTCGAACTCTATTTACTGTTACTTACTTCCCAATGAAATAATGTCTAAGTTAAAGAGTTTAATATTTTTTTACAAATTTGTTTGTTTAAATGAAGTTTAAATTTACTGTTATTCTGACAGTGACTGACTGACGTGACGTATGAGCACGAGTCATTGCCAGCAAAAAGGAAATAAGAAAAACAAAATCAAATACTGTATGTAGTTTTCACACTGTATTTTAATGGATTTTCTAGTTTCTTGATAGATATGAGAAAATATTATAATTAAAAAACATTCAGGATCGAAATTTTTAATTTAAGTTATAATAAAACACAAGATAAACAAAACCGGTAAAGTTACGGTTCGGTTTTTCTCTATATATTTCTTATGTAGCAACATCGGCATCTAATATGATTCAGTTATGAAATGAATTGAAGGTGTTTCATATTTTATTGTTACCATTTTATGGTGATTTAGGTGATTCTCTAACAATTCATCAAATCTGTCATATTAGAAATGATTCACCCAATGTTACCTTTTTAGGCCCCCTGAGCTTCATTTGCAGACAGATTCTTTATTTACGTTTTAAACTGTCAAACACCAAGCGGTCACCGGTGACCGCAACCTATTGTTCTATAATTGTGTCTATAAGGACGGTACTCGACGAGTTAAAATGTACCTGTTTTTGGTTTAACTGAAATAAATGCTTTGATTTTACTTTGATTATGAATCAAATCTCAAGGAATCTTACCAAGTAATAATTTAAGTCTATAAACACCTAGCTTATATCTTGTAGATCTAGAAGAGAAGAGCGTAAAAGCGAAAACGAAAAATAGGTGTATCATACATTCATGCCTTAGTAGAACAGCAGCAAGACATACAATGTCTATGTCAATCTTCTGACAACCATAACAACGACAAAGTCTTACAAACCTCATAATTTAATCATTTTGAACCTCTAGACTAAACAATATTTTGCATACAGCCAAAACAAATAGTTTAACGAAAACTAACACCTTCAGAACTATAAACTTAGGCCCTTAAAATACTTATAGTTCGTTTTTATTTGATTTACATGATTTGTAGAGGCTTGTCTAGACCTTTTTGTTATCATATTAGGTTACTACCTAAAGGTTATTGTATAACAAACTATATTGGAGTTAACAGAAACTATAATATCACTGTCTCGTTAGTCGAGTGATCGCAAGCGCGGCTGCCGGGCAAGGAATCTTGGGTTCGATTGTCGGGTCAGGCAAAGTATTACTAGGCTTTAAATAAATCTCAGTAGTAGCACGGAGTCTGGAATTGTGCCCGGTATGTGTTTCTTTATCGTTTCTGTAAAAAAATAAAAAATACGTGTGTACCTAATGTTTTAAAACAAACTACCAGACGGACATTGAAACAAAAATTAGTCATCTATCCTATTATTATACCAACAATTTCTTCGTCTTACCTCCCAAAACGCTTACCACCAGGCAAGATAGTGGCCAAACGCCAGCACCCATCAAATACAAAAAAAATATCTACTAAAGCAACCACAATTTTCAGGTACAACTGTACAAGCATCAAGTTGTAAATGACACCTTCGCCTTTAGAAAAACGTATTAAAGTTAGAAGGTCAGAAGCGCCATTTTGTTTATTAGCTAGCTTATCGCTGCAACTATGGTATTTAGGACATAGGTATTGCTCAGTCCGAGGTGCAAGAAATAATAACTTGACCGTTTTCATTCAAATTAGGTCAATGTGTTAGTGCATTCGGTGACTGTCAGCGTGTTGTGTCAAGACTAACAACTTGTAGAAGTTAAATGTTTAGGACTTTTGAAGTAATCATCAATTTTGCAGAGGTCGTTGCTCCCTCGGAGACTCTTGAATAGGTAGAAATATTTGATGTGTCAATTTTGTCGTTTACTTCGATTCATCATAAGTGTGACCATTGTGATTGGAGCTTCGGGTATGACGTGGCATTTTTTGGTATGAAATTATTAATAGGCTCGAAAAATAACAGGAAAAAGTTTTTCATTAACTTGAGCGAGTTTTCTCTGGTGTTGACATAATTAGCAAATATTGATCATGATAGAATGGTTCTCCCCTCTCCCATAGGAGGAGGCATGGTGACCCAATTTGTGCATGAGTTCCCTGATGATTTGTGGAAACGAGCATGACGTGGATAGTACAGATACTACCTACGACAACAAAATTTTAAGCAAGTCATTTTCTGAATGCTATTTTAATTTGCGCGCGTTACAGCTGAACGTAACGTCTTCAGATTTAAGATTCCAGCATTCTTAGAGCTTTTCTCTATTCATCATTTAATCACTTCTAGAGAAATAAGTGAATAAAAATACAATGTTTAAGATTGACACTGAAATTATGACTAAAAACTTGATTCAACTACAGGACTTTTTCTATTACTTCCTTTGACTAAGTTATCCAACGTCTTCTCCCGCTCGGCTGAGGCGAGAGGGAGGTTTAGTCTTACTGACTCAAAATCATTCCGTTCCTTTATTTTATTTCTGTGTAAAACTATTGTAGGTTTTACCAAGACAAAATCATTATGCTTCGGGTCAAAAACGAAATAGATTTCACTGCGTATAATATGGAATGCGGGAACAAGCTACCTATTAACTAGCCACTTGAAAAATGGACGCTGTTAGAACAAGTTAATAACCTCTGACCTGAATTCACGAACATTGTTTTGACTCTCAATTGCCAATTTAAAATAATGCCAGCTTTCAGTAAAACATGATATACTGGGAGGTTTTTTGACATTGGTAATTAATGTATGTAAATAATTTAAATTGGGTTACATTGTGTATCTACTGGAAAAATGCGTGTTTAATGTTTGTTATTGAGAGGGTATGTACTCTGGGTATTTTATAACGGCATGATTCTTTCTAATATCAGTTAAACTTTTTTTCTGCT